TGGTGTTGTGCCTGATAAATTAAAGTAAATGTGTTATTAATTACCAAGCACAAAATAGCAAATTACTTCATAAATAATATTAGAAATCATGAACACAATATAATTACTTAGATCAGTGATACCCAACCCATATCTCATTTTAAGTTCAAACAAATATATATAATATAAAATACCATTATTTCCAAGATATTTTATTGTAAAATCTATATTTTTTCTATTGTAAGTGACCAGAAGAATAAAAAAGGTTGGYCCTCACTGACAAAGATAGTCATTAAAGTAAATACATTAATATACAGAAAGTAAAGCTGAACAAAACATAATTTTTAACAATAAATAATAAGTCCATGAGACCCTTATAAGTACTCGTCTTATAAGCTTTGAGGTGAATTGACGCCGTGCAACATACCATCCATGTGTTCAATTTCTGAAASGTAAATAGAAGACAGATAATTATACTTTCAATTAGATTAATGGTTTACTGTTTTGAAGAGAACACACAAACACAATTGAAAAGAAAACAAAACCAACATAACAGTGTTCAAATGTTATATTGTTTAAAAATAAAAATAATCATAAATATTATAATAATATTATAAAAATAAAGAAACATACAATCTAGTATGGGTTAACAAAAAATAAGAACTATTTTAATAAATAATATATAATATAAATTAGTGTATTGGATGTGTGCTGTGTATTCCTTCGTTGTTACAAAACTTTTTCTTTTATGCCTGCTGCTTTTTTCGCCTCATTTTTAATGATCATTTGAGTTGTAAGGTAAGACTCTCGTTTAATTCTGTCGCTGAGGGCATTTGGAACATCTGGTATCAACCATTGAACGGCTACTTTCACTAATGACACAATATTCTGAAAAACTAATAGATTAGCACACAACAACATTAAATTAATAATTTTTTATTACTTGAAATATAACAACAAATGTAAGGCGTGCAACTAGCACTTCATAATAAAATGTGGGTCTTTCATATTTCTGCGGTGACCATGGAGGATTTCTATAATCTTTATAACTAGAAAAAAAATTATAAATRTTATGTTGCATATTGAAAAAAGTTATTAGAAAAAAAATGAATGATATATTTACCGGCAATAAGTAACATTAGTATATGATGATAACACTGGAGCAATACCACTTTCAAAGTCTTTGGTATCAAAGTAAGCTAAAGTATTGTTTAAGAAACCCTTGTCTGTGTGGTCTTCACTCACTAAACTTATGTAAACCATACGAGGTATGTAATTAGAAGAAAATGCTATTATGAATGCCTATAAATCATAATTTAATTTTAATAAACAAAATAAATTTGAAAAAATGAAATACAAACATTTGTGATAACTGCTAACTTTCCCAAAATATCTAATACTCGATACCACACRCCAATATTAGGCACTCTATGAGGAATTGGTCGACGGAAATACTTTAAAAACTTTTTGGCATCTAATCTCATTTCAAACACATTGTTTAACAATGCAAAGAAAGGACCCAGTGGAAATGCAGTAACAAATAATGTTACAAAACCATATTGCATAACTAAAAAAATATTAACACATTAATTTTAATTTAACTTATAAATAAAAGCTTTTTAAATATTACCCATTTCCAAATATTCTGGGAAGAGTCCTCTTGGTCCCCAATCCAAAAGTTTGTAATCTTCAATCCAAGGTTTCTTAACAGCTGTAGCCAAATCTTCTTCCTCTGATGATGATTTCAGATTATCTAAGCGACCTGTGTTCTCAGTCAATGAATTGAACCAATTTAAACCTACACTATAATACAAACAATTTTAGTTTTTGACTTTAGCTTTAGTTTTTACTAAAAAAAAACCAATCAAATTTTACACACGGAATTATCATTTCAACAACAGTATTTAATGCTTGTTGCCCAACCATTATAATGAACAATTGTATGCTTAATTCCATGAGACATCCACCAGGACTACACTAAAAACATAATGCTCATTGATTACTATTAATCGAAATAGTTAAATAATTATGTGCATTTCTTACTTCTTCTTGACGAAGATTGAATATACGCAAGTATTTAGCAGGATAACCAACATTTTTGCCTTTTAAAAATGCAATATAAATTATTGATGTATAATAATTTACAAATTGGAAGAGGTAAATTTTTATTGTCAGAGATTCATCAAATTCAGTTTGAGTGCGTAGTAGTTCCATTTCAGTCAGATATATGGCAACTTTATCATAAACCTAAACAACATTAAATTAAATTAAAAAATAGATAGCTTTTTTTTTTAAAGCTATCAAAATTTTTATCAGTAGTTCAAACCAAAAGAAATAATTAAAATATTATACTGTATATAATTTTTTTTATAGATTTCAGATACTTATATTATTATTTATAAAAATAATAGTTTAATTTTGGCATTAATTTAAAGCAACCCCAATAAAGAAGGCGCTACACAGCTACACCCACAATTGTTGTCATCATCTAACAATTATACAACATAGTAAAAACGTTGTTTTACACAGGATAAAACCACTCAGGCAGTAGTAATAATTATGACTCCAAATTTATATAAAATATATACAGATTTTTATATTGTGTAATATAGAAGTCTATGACAATATATTCAAAAAAATTATTAGAGAAATATCTCTCTTTTTTATGTATATAATATATATCACTTATATGAAAAAAGTTTGGCTTAGTCGAAGCAGCAAAGGGCCTTAATGACCTGTAGAAGCTAAAAAAAAAAAAAAAATGAAAAAAGTTCTTTTTGAATCAAAATTCATTATTTTTGTATTTTTCTAACTTGAATAATTTTTTTTTTTCTTGTAAGTANCCATTGGCAGTAGTACAACAAATACAACTTACCTAAGTACCTATATAGTTATTATATAGTGTATAACCATACGATTTTGCCCCACAAGATTATTAAAAGTTATCGAGCTTCATATCAAACATTAAATTAATAAATGAATGTATTTATACTACAAAATATGTAAATTACACTTAATTAGCTATATGGCATACCTGAACAATTTTTTCGCATATAAAAATTCACTATTTGAAATTTTGATAATATTTTAGTAATTGAATGTAAAATTATAAAACGTATTTATATTAAAAACATGATATTAAAACACGTGTACTATACTACTATCATATTCAATAAATAAACAAACAAAACGTTTCAAATCGTTGTATTCAGTTTACTTCTATGATAAAAATTATTGATAATATTCCGATAATAMGATTTTGCCCCGCATCCCGTCTTCCCMTGCATCGAAGACAAAATTAAATTGTACATTACAATGATATAGATTACAACGTGCCAACGCCGGAATATATATTTATTAATAAATTACGGTATACGGAGGTCGTCGAGATAACCCGGATGATTCTAACAGGTAGTCTTGGAAATATTTGGGTAGTCGAGATAACGCGGAAGTACCCTTTATTTTTTAACTCCTCCATCTTCCCCCAAAAAAAAATTGTATTCTGTGTACGTGCCTGATTARACAATACTAGTAAAAACCTTCTATGGAAATGTCATATGTATATGATTAATTTTTTTTAGATCTGTCTACAACAAAAACTTGCAAAACTACTTTTTTAAGGGTCTTAAAAGCAATATTTTACATTAAATTTCTTTACAAAATAATAATAATCAAAAATCTAAAA